ACTTGTGTCGTAAGAACGAAGAAGATATTGATGTATGTGAGAACGAAAACAAAATAAGAAAAGAGAGCACGAAAAACGAAGCCCGCTCGTGTCTTCGTTCCTCCCACGCAAGCGTCATGCTCGTCTATTCTCCACGTCGGTGGCCCAGATGCCAAGGCAGTGCGTGTTGTTCGTTCGCTTATGCCGTTGCGTTCGACGCAGCTGCCTGTCGGACGCGACACGCTTGGCGTCACACGCTAACCACCACCAGCAGCAGCAGCAGCGGCCGCAGCAGGCGCGCGCTGGAAGGAGACGACGCTCACAATGCTCCTCTGACCCGTCGGATATGCAGCCGCGCCTCGGACTCTTTTCAAAACGCTCCGAGGCGCGAAAAGAGAGCCGGCGCATCGTATTCTGCCGGCCCCTTTCTGCCCCCCTTTGCCTTTTTTCTTCCTGAATACGTGGACTGGTCGCTTTCTCGTATGCTGCTGCGACGACGCGTGCGCGTAGGTGTAGGTGGTGTTGCTTTGGTCGTACCTGTTTCTTTTTCATGCAAGTGGGACCTCATCGTTCCGCTCCGAGGTTCCGGCTGCCTTGTCAGCGAGTCGCACGTCTGGGTGTCTGTTGTATATCCAGGAAACGAGATTGTATCGGAAGTTGAACAAGCAGCTGATACGTAAGACGAGCATGGAAAGTCGGAAGTGGTGTGATCCGGAAAACAACCCCTATAGAGTTGGTGGACGAATGAGGCTTTGCCTTCCTTTCTTTCCTTCTTTCTTTTTTTTTTTCATTCGTGGAGCAGCTCTTATTTGCAGAGAAGTCAGCTGGAGTTATTGTAGTGGTAAAAGCTGGATGGCTGAGAAGTTTGGCGATAGAAAAGGCAGTGTGACAGGTCGGCATACGGTTGGGACAGCAGGGGTCAGATCTATAATGATAGAGAAAAAGGCGAGCGGGTGTGAGCAGACAATTCAATTGTATTTGTCGTAAAATTCGTGCCACTAGAACTGTGAGTGATGGATGAGGGGGAGGGTAGAGACACTTGTCAAGTTGGAGCTGGAGGCACACCTTCTTGATAGTAAGGCGCAAATCCCGTCGTTGTTCACGGAACTCCCACCACCCACCGAATGTATGGGCCAGGGAATGAATGGTGCGCGTTGCAATATATTGCGGGCGAGATGATGAGCCAGTGCATTGCCGTCTATCCCTGAATGCCCAGAAATCCAGCGTAGGAAAACAGAGGAAGGTCGGAGTGAGGGGACCGCTCGCTCGACCTCCTGCTTATAGGGAACGGACAACGCACGGTTCTGTATGTGACGGATGGCGGCGTATGGGTCGGAGAAAATCGTCTACTCGGGGTTAGAAGGGAACAGAGGAAAATGATTGTAATGCATGAACAATGGGAAGTACTTCAAGTGACAGTACGTTCGGTGCGTAGGTGCAAGTATGGCCCGCTGGTGTGAGTTTCAGGTGCCGAAAGGTGTAGCGTTGTCGCAGAAGCCTCCAGGAGCTACGAATGAGGCATCCGTGTAGGTGATTCCCTGTGTAGAAAGAGGATGGGAATGATGCTGCACTGCTGCGGGACGGCGGCTTGCGTGCGAAATGGTGGACATGTTGGACGGGAGGGGGAGGATGCGAAGGTTGGGAGCAGGGGTGCACGCAGGAGAAGGCACCCCCTGGTTATCATTGCGTTATGATTTGCTTTGTCAGCCCAGCCAGATCTCTCAGCGCCTGCGCTCACAGTTAGAACGTACACGTCCCGCCTCTCTCGATTAAACATTCTGTTAGAAGTCAGCGCGCCGTCCCGTGGTCTTTCTTAGTCCGTGTGTTTTTTCGTGCGCCCACGTTTTCACGCTGTATCACCAGCAAAGTCCATCCTCACGTACCGTGAAGTCCTCGTGTTGCACAAAAGACAGCTGGCGGGTTTGTGGCCTTTTATTGTTTCTAGACTAAATTTTATGCAGTTCGCCTCACTGGCTCCTACACCGCGAGCATAGCGCAAGAGAAGGCGGGGGGGGGGGGGGGGGGGGTGTAGAATTACGTAAGTAGGGGTATTATCAAGAGCATGAGAGCATACATGCTTTTTCAATGCATGTTGACTGTTGAAACAAGAAAAAAGGGACTGTTAATGTTAGCTGGATCAAGAATGCTTACGCTGTAATCCAGCTAATTAATATTCGAATATTCAGCTAACGTATATTGGAAATCCATGAACGACGACCAACCCGACGGAATAATATTTTTTTTCATACACTATTATATTTTTTGCGAATCGTAACACTGAGCATTATTGACTTACGGTGGTTAATCTGGGTCTGGGAACTGTGTCAGGTTTTCGTGCCCTTCGGCCAGTTTCTTGAGCAACTTATTTCTTTAGCTTGAGAAAAGCTGCTTCATGGCATCTATCTACAGACTTTGTATGTACATTACACAAAAAGCCTGTATACAATCTATGCGTGTTGTGTGAGTCGCGAGAAATTTCTATAATGAGCTTCTATGTACGACTGACTCATGACACAGGAGGAGCGTGGCGGACGGAGGCTGGTGAGCATCCTGGCATGGCACCATGGTGGCCTTGTCGTATCGCCGGGCCCGCCTGCTGGCGTTGGCCCTGCTCGGCAGCGGATTCCTCGTGGCTCGCATACACCGAGCGCAACTCGGTGGCGGAGCAGCTCCCGTCGTCCTCACCGGGCAGCAAGCGCTGCAGGTAAAACACACACGCTACATCCCTGCGCCGTTAACTTCTAGCCCACGCATTTCCTTTGCGGGCTTTCATCAGTTTTTTTTTTTTAATGTGAAAGCCTTCAATTCCTCATCAAACGCGAAACGTAGCCATCGACGCCAACACGAGTGATGCTATGTATCATCATCACGTGACGTCATCATGGCGGCGCAGCTCTCTAAACATTGATGACAGTTGGCGTCACTGTGATGTCACCTGATGACGTCATCACAAGCTGTGCCTTTCGCCATGTGGGTCATGCACCGAGGCACAACAGAACTACCTATGGGCGCAGAAAGATTCTGACACCACCGGTCTCTTATGGCAACACCGGTGCCATACATAGCGCGCTGGGTGCGCAAAGCTTTCGGATTCGAGTGGAGGACGCGTATCAATACGATCGACTGAGAAGACACATAGGAAAAAAAAGATGTCTTTTGCTTTCAAATCAGAGAAATTCATGAACTACTATGTAAGTTTGCATCGATTTGCCCTAAAAAAATGTATATTATTTTTATTCATTGTTATATGTCCAGTTGCAGCCCCGTCATGCAGGTGTGCACGTAACTTTAGCCACAGTTTAAAAATATGCTGGAACACGTAATTACGACACGACCAAATGAAGTTGCTCACCGTTGCCTGGAGTTAGTCAGATTAATTTTTGTGTTCTCAAATATCGTTTAATTAGATCTGTTTAATTAACTACTTTTAAGGAACGAAGATGGATGAAGAATTTCAATGAGAAAGTTGTAGATCGGTTTGCAAAACGTTCAAATAAATAGTATTGAAACTTATATCTGTTACTCTTTAGTGTTTTCTGGTAATTGCAAATGCCCGCTAAATACACAGAAATACCACGTGACAAACCCGCTCGCGCGTCAGTGCGCGCAATGATTATAGCGCTCCCTAACGTTCCGCGTACGAACGACACGCTTCTTTCGCACCGGTTCATGACAGCGATAAGCTGTCAGCGGTTATTTTTTTTTTGTGGCCGATAGCAAAACGTGTTCATCATAAAGGCACCACCATCGTTGCGGCCCTGCTGAGACAGCACGATGGGGCCTATGCTATGGTCGTTCTTACACGGAACGTTAGAGAGCACTAGAATTATCGTGCGCACTGGCGCACGGTCGAGTGGGTTTGTCACGTGGTATTGTTTTTGTATTTAGTGGGCATTTGTTATTCAATCAATCAATCAGTTTATTATCATGTCATAAAAGGATGTTACAGGGAGAAAAATATACAGACGAGGGTCCCAAAGTACAAGACTGCAACGGGACCCTCGATGATGATTACAAATAATAAAAGCAGAAGCAGCTGTTAGAATCGTAGAAACAAAAATATATAAAGCAGAATGAAAACAAAAAGACATGGAATCAAAAGAACAAATAATACAGCATAAAACAACACAAAGAAGATAGATCAACTATTTAACAGGTACTCTTTTAGTGAGTTTTTAAATGAAAATAAAGAAACATTGCATTTTAGCGAAGTGGGCAAATTATTCCGTATGGTGATGGTACAGAAGAGAGAAGATGATTTACCATAGTTAGTACGAACCTTAGGAAGTAAAAAGTTATTATTAGCCGCAAACCTGGTTGTGTTAGTATTAACTAACATCTTAGGATCAATGAAATTAGCAGAAAGTTGATTTCTTATTTGTTTATGCAGAAACATAATTAGATTAAACCTGAATAGATAGCTAACAGTTAAGATTTTATTGCATTGAAGAAGGGGAGCGGCGCTACTGTCACGAGAACAGTTAAAAATAGCGCGAATAGCTAGATTTTGTAAATGTTGTACGGATGAAAGATGACACTGGTAAGTATTCCCCCATGATGCGACGCCATAAGTGATATGAGAATGAATGCGAAGTAAAGTGAAAGGAGTGCTTTATGAGAAAAATATGAGCGACCTTTCAGTAATGCGCGAATGCCAAATGCTGCCATTTTTCTAATGTGAGCGATATGGAGAGCGAAGTTAAGGTTAGCGTCGAGGTGAACGCCAAGAAAAGATACACTGTCGCTGATATTAATCAAATGAGAGTCAACTGTGAGCTGTGGTGAGGAAGTTAACTTGCGTTGAGCTGATCTAAAAACCATAAACTTAGATTTATTCGGATTAATAATTAAGAAATTTTCCTGGCACCATTTTGACACGCTACAAAGTACAGCATTTAATTTATTAGTGACGTTGTCAATACATCTATCAGCAATGGAAATGGTAGTATCATCAGCATATAAAACGCAGTGAGCCATGTGTATAATGTCAGGAAGGTCATTAATTAGCAGAAAAACACTAATACTTAACAAGTATGAAGTTCAAAACGATATTTTTGGACGTTTTGCAAACCGAACTACAACTTTCTCATTGAAATTCTTTATCCATCTTCGTTCCTTCAAAAGTTAGTTAATTAAACAGATCTAATTAAACAGTATTTGAGAACACAAAAATTAGTCTGACTAACTCCAGGCAACGCTGAGCAACATTCATTTGGTCGCATCGCAATTACGTGTACCGGCATATTATCAAACTCTGGCTAAGTTACGTGGGACACCCTGTATATGTGTGAAACTCCCAACCATAGGAATAAGCTACCCCTGAACAATGTTGTTGAGGATGACGCAGCGAACAATTGGAAGGAAAAATAATAGGTGATGAGAGCATAGTTGGTCAGGGAACAATCCGGGATTAACGATATCATAGTTAAATCAAAAAGAAATGGACAAGGGCCGGGCACATAGCCCGTTGGCAATACAACCACTGGTCATTAAGGGTAACTGACAGGATTCCTAGCGGGTGAAAGGGAGGCAGAAAGTTAGATGGGCAGATGAGATTTGGAAGTTCACAGGTGTAAAGTGGTAGCCGCAAGCACAGGACCGAGCTGCCTGGCGGAACATGGGGTTTGCCCCTCAGTGGGCGCAGTCAGGCTGAATATATATATATATATATATATAATATATATATATATATATATATATATATATATATATATATATATATATATATATATATATATATATATATGTGTGTGTGTGTGTGTGTGTGTGTGTGTGTGTGTGTGTGTGTGCGTGTGTGTGTGTGTGTGTGTGTGTGTGTGTGTAATGTTGTGATTTGCTTACCGCTAGACTGTGTGAACTGATTTACTGCGCGCTACAGCATTGGTGGACAGCATATGCTGGCTGCTCAAGCAGTCTGAACCACGATCACACATTTCATTCTGAATTAAAAAGAAGTCACAGTTTCGCCGCAAAAGCGAAGCAATGAATGCGATAGCAACAAACTAGAATGTAACGCTCAGAACGGCAAGCAGATCGAAACGTGCAGCGCGCTGCTCATGCACAAATGGCGCACAAAAACAACACACACAGGACGAGATTCACAACGTTTACAGCTAGACACTTAAAGCGCTGTTTAAACAACAAAAACGATACACGGAACCTAATCACAGGTACATATATGAGTGTGAACTAACAAGGGCACCAGTTGTTACCTCGCTGCGATTGAAAAGCGCGCTGTTTTCGCAAACGGGGCCTGTCTAGTGGGTGAAGTGGTCTTTGTGCGCCTGGCAACCAAACGCAATCGTTCCGGGGAAAGCCGAAGATGCGCGATTTTCCCCAACAACGGGATAAGTGCGCGGGTAAAGCCCCTTTTCTCCGCGGAGCAAAAGCAAAGCACGCGTGGGAAGTCAGCGCACATCGACGCATCGCGTTGAGCTGGGCGCCGAGCTTTACGTCGAGCTAGCCATGAGGCTCCCTACGCCATGCGAGCTCATCGTGCCGTCTCACTGGTAATGCTGAAAACACGCTATTTCACCTGAGATAGGCGCCACCAGCGCGAAGTGGTAGATATTAGCATATACTACTTCTTCTGGAATAAATTACCTGAAGAAGTAGTAAATTCTAATACAACTGAATCATTTGTTCAGTTTTTAAAGAACTTATCGTTTTATATGTGAAGTTCTGTTTACTGTGCTGAACAGCTTTGTGGCAGTTGATTCTCGTGTTCACTTATTTTATGCATTGTGTTCATCTCATGTGTTGAATTATTGTTTGTGCATGCTTTATTACTTATAATGTTGTATGTTTTTATTGCGAAATATATATATTTATTTTAATTTTTCTTGTTGATTGGGGTTTACTACTTAAGTTATCGATAGTTGTAAGCTTTATTGTTGGTATTGTTTTAAATGGTATTCCCACTCCTGCTTGTGCCCGAGGAGGGCCTACAGTATTTGTAAGTTAATAAAATAAATAATAAATAGCTTGCCACTTCAACGTTGAAGGAGGTGTTCCTTCGCTGCTCAGTGGCTAACTCCGTGCCCTCACAAGCTTGAGATTGGATGTTCGATTCCGGGCACCAAAGTCTTTTTCTGTAATATATTTATTTCTTGCATTTTCATATACTATATAAATACTTACACATGCATATACGGTGCATGACGGCGGACACCGACGTCGGCGGCTAAGTCCAGCCGATAGTGTCTATATAATTGCTAAAGCAATAAAATAAGTTTTGACGGCACGCACTGGTAAGACACGTTGTCGCGGCAGAAGATCTCGCTCCTCTTGTAATACAGTGCACCGACTTTGCATTTGAAGATGATTGTTTTCTGAGTTGATAGTTACCGCCGTGTTTTGTATGCCTTCCTTCGTGTTATCGTTTTTTGCGCCCCACCATGCTAAGAAGAATTTTTTTTCACATGCCATTTAGGAGCCGTCACGTTTTTTCGCATCTATTCTCGCATAGGTTCAATTATTTAATAGTTAGGTTGAATAGGTCGGCACGCACTGGACACGTAATTCCTGTGGAGTCTTGCGCATTACGTATGAACGGCTGGGAAATCACATATCTTGATTAATTATCTTGATTAACATGCGCTATTATTTCAGTACATGTGCTTGACGTTCATGTGTTCGTTTTCCTGCAGGTCACGATTCCATTAGAGCTGTCTCAAAAGCCCGCGTCTCGACCTCCTACCAAGCTCCTCAAGTACCCCTTCAGGTACTATGACCCCCACCAGCCACCCAGACACAAAGTTCGGGCCAAGGACTTACTTTCCTATTTCAAGCCCGTTGGCAATGCCACCTGCTTCGTACACGGTACCGATATTAAAGCGAGCCACAATTCTTGCGTATGCCGGCCGGGGTGGTTCTCGGACGACTGCAGCCTACCCGAAGCCATCAGTTCTTCCAAGCGCTTCAGACGTCGCTGGACTAACAGGAAAGTCCACCGCAGGAGCGGCAAGCCTCGGCGTATCGTCAATGCGATCAACATAAACCACGAGCTCGACCTATTAGAGGTGCGGTTGCGAGAACTGCATGACGTCGTGGACGTGTTCGTTATCTGCGAGTCCAACTACAGCGCAAGGGGAGAGCCTAAGCCGCTGCACCTTCTTCCGGAACTCCGGAAAGGTTTTCTGGCGCCGTATCAGGACAAGATCGTGCACGTCTTCCTCGACCACTTCCCGAGCAAAGGCCGGGAAGACGGCTGGTTCGCTGACGGCTACCAGAGGAGCTTTCTCTGGCGACAGGCCAAGAAGCAACTCTCTGGACTCAGGGACGATGACCTGTTCGTGCTGACGGACGCCGACGAGATACCGAGGGCGGGTCCTCTTGCGTATCTCAAGACGCACGAGGGCTTCGGGGAACCGATGTTTCTGCGATTGCGTTGGACGCTGTACGGATTCTTCTGGCAGCACGTGCAAGAGCACGTGCAAGTGCTCTCCGTGTGCACGATGAGATTTATGTCGCGCGTGCTGCGCAATGACGCGGCTCGCCTGCGCCGAGAGGACATTCCGGTCAACTCGGAGGAGCTTTACGGAGGGGAGCTCGAGGACTGGACCCTGGGCCAGAATGACGACTACAACGCCGGCTGGCACTGCTCGTGGTGCTTCGACATCGAGGGTCTCCGAGTGAAGCTCAAGTCGGCGCAGAAGGACGACGGCATACGGTGGGGAGACTTTCCCGAAAAGACTTCCGCTAGCTTTCTGAACGTCCTGGTCAGACGCGGCCTGTGGTTCGACGGCAAGAAAGTGACTAAGCCGAGCGTGCTCACTCGGGGGGGTACTGTGCCGTCATGCGTGATGGATGACGTTAAATACGGTTATCTCCTTACGCCTGATAACGGGACCACGCGCACCCCGGAAGTGCAGTAGTTTGCAATTGGGATGTGTCGCTTTTCATCTTCAACTATTTGCAAAATTTCTTCCAAAGATTGAAACTTCATGAGAGGACTCACACACTGAGTAGATATTTCAGAAGCAAAATCTGAGCTTAACACCAGCCGAGTACACATTATACTTGCCTGTTATAATGTGTTCGCCGTTAAGAAACTGGATATTAGGCAAACAAAAGAAGAATGGTATCATATCGAGTGTTCAAACCTGGCGGTTTTCATATTCACGTTATACGACACAGAAACCTCTGGTTTCCATGCAGCCTTCAACGGAGCGGAGCTTATCAAGGTCATAGCCTTTTCATGCAACTACAATAACAGCGCGTCCTATAGGGCAGGGCGTTTGCCGACATTCTGCACCTTTTACTGTTCCTTCTCGGCTCGGCCCAACTCGAGGTACGGTACGGGCAGCATCAAGATAAGGCAGATAATGCTGCGCCGAGCTGTGGTGCATGTTGTTGAATAAGAAAGTCATAGTGGCAACCATCGTAGGTCAAGCTACATATTTAGCCATTTTCAGACTTCAAGAACTTCTCAGTGTACCTAAGAATATTTTTTTACTACCCGTTTCTTATGTGTAGCACATATGTTCACGTATCTACGTAGCCTGTATCGCTGACGAAGTAAGTTGCGAGCAATGCTAAGGCTAAATGTATTGACCAGTGAAAAGCGTATACAGTATATGTGTGGTGTCACCTTGAAGTTGTCAGGCCGACCGCGTGCCGGAAACGGGTGGTGCTTTCACATGAAAACTCTGACATTGAGAAACAAGCTTATAACGCAACATACTGCTGGCGCTGGTTCGCTGCATCTCTGCCGCATTATACAATGCACCATATGTCAGAAATCTCTCCAGCATCTACTCTTGTTTCACTACACAGCATGCATGCACACACACACGCTCTGGCGCCATTGAATGGTTATATGTAGCAAAAAATGCGTAAGCACACTTTCAGCCATTTTTATTTATATTTACAACTACCTGTATATAACTAAGTTTCCGACCAGGTCTGTACTGTGAATCAATGTACGCCTCTATTCATCGGTCCGGTAGGAAACAAGACGAGGAAGACGACGCCTATGATTTGTACAAATAAAATCGTCTCTGTTAAGCATGACAGCGTTTTTAACACGATACTTCACAGCGCGCATGCGCTCGGTATTCCTCTTTTATCGGAGTCATTCAAAGCGACTACAATGACGGCCAGCCGACTAATCTAATGGGCGATTGGGACAGTTGGTGGTTTTTGATTGATGTATACTGTGTGGTAGAAAACACGGTCGTCAAGCAGGCAAGAAGAAGCGCAGTATACTTGCCTGCCTGTCATCCGTGTTTGTTTTCTTTACCGCGATGTATACATCGATTAATCTAGTGACCAGTGACCAGGCATAGATGTGCGCGAAGGATGGTGGTGGAGGCAGGGGTGTGCAAAGTCAGCCCCCAGACATTGACATGAGAGGAAGGGGAAGATGCTGCGACGAGCCTCCCCCCACCCCCCACTTAAGGGGAACCATGCGCGCGCCTACAGTTATAAGGTCTATACATCGTGCGATGGCATGGGTGTTTGCAATAGTTGGCCTGCAAATTTGTGGAAAAGTGTGAGCTTGAAAAATCGTGCCCGTCACGTCGCACGCTCCGGTTTAGAGACTACGGATGAAAAGTACTGCAGCTTTAGAGGCTTACGAGCTGCAATCATTTCAAAAGGCCTTGAAGGGACGTAACATGCACCACTTTTTCAGCATGATCAGAAAACGCTACCGATCGGTAGCCGAGGCTCCTGAAAACACACCAGTCAAGCGTAGCACGTCGCCTAGAATTTACGTTTAATTATGAGTCAACTAAAATTCGTTCCCCATTCTCTCTACAAACGGTGCCATATACGCACATCACTGCGTCATAGCCCAAGTCCATGGCCGCTGGCGGATTTCCGCATGACGAGCATGGCCTCCGAGATGGCGGGCGCACGGCTTGTTTTTCTCCGGCTGTCCCAATGGCCGCGCATACGTCCGCCATATTGCCTGGTTAGCAACCATAGTTACGCGGCAAAGACACGCTCCGTTTTTGCAGGAGACTTGCTTAAGCCTGTCGCCAATCAACGAAGCGTGTCGTCGATTGCCAGTCGACGTGCCCGGCGCGTCAACGAGCGGCCAGGAAGAGACAGCTGCTTTTGGGACTGTGCCATGGGAGTTCGAAGGCATTTTTAATCTGTCCGGTAACGCAAAGCGCGAGTAAGGCGTAGCGCAGTGCCCATTAGCATGCCCCGTCAGTGTCACATGGTCAACTGGCGCCTGCTGAGGATAAGCAACAACTCACAAACACAAATGATAGTTTCTCCGAGATTCAAGAAGCACCCACTAAACCTACAGCATATCTTATTTCAGTCTGATTTCCTAAAATCGTGCTGAATCCACGCAAATAGCTGTTGAAGCTTAAGGACATGAACCTAAAGCAAATAAAATCACCAGTACGTAGCTAACGAGCTAGACCGCACACGACAGTCCTTGATAAATTCCAGGTGAACGGCAACAGTTTTCGGTGCACCAACTTTTCCGTGGTGTATGGTTGCTAGCGGCGTGGGAAACAAATGCGCTACACTGCTACCTAAATGGTAGCTTATACAGTGGCGCTAGACGCTGCAATGTGTGACGTCAGACAAAAGTTGAGCATTATCATGGGTCTTAGTTGAGCATTATCATAAAGCCTTACTTTTCCGATTGGTTCTTGGCGTGTGTTGCGGCAAAGCCAATCTATCAGGAGAATATTTAGCCAGGAAGAGGGCACAGAGTGCATGGTCGCTGCAATGTGTGACGTCAGACAAAAGTTTAGCTTTATCATGGGTGATAAAGCCTTCAACTTTTTGAGTGGTTTTCGGCATGTGTTGCGGTGAAGCCAACCTATCAGGGGAACATTTAGCTGGGAGTAGGGCACTGAGTGACTGACGCTGCTAGGGTATGTTCCTACGGGAGCAGAGTAGCGCATAGGACCACCCATATCTTGCCTGGTTAGTAACCATAGTTGCACGGCGAAGTTGCGCTGTGTTTTTGCAGGCGACTTGCTTAAGCCTGTCGCTGATCAACAAAGCGTGTCGCCGATTGCCAGTCGACGTGCCTGGCATGTCAACGACCGGCGAAGAAAGAAGAAACGCCTGCTTTCGCCGACTGTGCCACGGAAGTTCAAAGGCGTTTTTAGTCTCTCCGGTAACGCAAAGCGCGAATAAGGCGTAGCGTAGAGCTGAATAGCATACACCGCCGCTGCCGCATGGTCACGTAGTGCCAACTATGGAAGACAACCAACAACTCACAAACACAAATTATAGGCCCTCCGAGATTCAAGGAGCATCCCTTTCAGCCTTCAACATTGTTTAATTCAGAGGGATTTTCGAACATCGTGCAGAATCCACGCAAATACTTAGCTGTCCAAGCTTAAAAACATGAATATAAAGCAAATAAAATCACCAGGACGCAGCTAAGGAGCGCACGACGGTGCTTGATAGATTACAGGTGGATGGCAACCGTTTTCGGTGGTGCGGCCTGTGCACCAGCTTCTCCGCAGTGCATCGTTGCTAGCGGTGTTGGAAAAACAAATCCGCTGCACAGCTACCTAAAGGTAGCATATACAGTGACTCTAGACAATGCAGTGTGTGACTTCATATAAAAGTTGAGCCTTATCATGGGTGATAAAACCCTTAACGTTCAAAGTGGTTTTCGACGTTCATTGCGGGGAGCCAGCGGACCAGGGGAAGCTTCATCTTGGGAGACTAAAATAAATGTACAATATATCATTCGTTGCATGATGTGACGTCATACAAAAATCGAGCCTTATCAGGGGCGATAAGGGCCTAAACTTTTCGGCTGCTTTTTTTTACATGCATCGCGGGAAAGCAAACGCATCAGGCGAAGCTTCAGCTCGGGAGACTTTGTTATAGACGTACAGTGTATCCTTCGTTGCTCGGTGTGACGGCAGACAAAAGTTGAGCCTTATCAGGGGTGATAAGAACCTCAAATATTTTGGCTGCTTTTTTGACATGCATTGCGGGAAAGCCAACAGAGCAACGGAAGCTCCAGCTCGGGAGACTTTCGTATAAACGTACAGCATATCTTTCGTTTCACGTTGTGACTTCAGACAAAAGTTGAGCCTAATCAGGGGTGATAAAGGCCTCAACTTTTCGGCTGCTTTTTGACATGCATCGCGGGAAAGCCAATGCATCAGGGGAAGCATCATCTCGAGAGACTTTCATATAACGTAGTACAGTATATCCTTCGTTGCATGGTGTGACTTCAAACAAAAGTTGCTCCTTATCAGGGGTGATAAGGGCCTCAACTTTTTTGGCTGCTTTTTTATATACATTGCGGGAAAGCCAACGGAGCAAGAGAAGCTTCAGCTCTGGATACTCTAATATAAACGTACAGCGTATTCTTCGTTGCATGGTGTGACGTCAGGCAAAAGTTGAGTCTTATCAAGGGTGATAAGGGCCTCGACTTTTTCGGCTGCTTTTTGGCATGCATCGTGGGAAAGCCAACGGATCAGGGAAAGCTCCAGCTCTGGAGACTCTAATATAAACGTACAGCATATCCTTCGTTGCATAGTGTGACGTCAGGCAAAAGTTGAGTCTTATCAAGGGTGATAAGGGCCTCGACGTTTTCGGGTGCTTTGTGACATGCACTGCGGAAAAACCAACGGATCAGAGAAAGCTCCAGCTCGAGAGACCCTCATATAAACGTAAGGTATATCCTTCGTCGCACGGTGTGACGTCAGGCAAAAGTTGAGTCTTATCAAGGGTGATAAGGGCCTCGACTTTTTCGGCTGCTTTTTGACATGCATCGTGGGAAAGCCAACAGATCAGGGAAAGCTCCAGCTCTGGAGACTCTAATATAAACGTACAGCATATCCTTCGTTGCATGGTGTGACGTCAGGCAAAAGTTCAGTCTTATCAAGGCTGATAAGGGCCTCGACTTTTTCGGGTGCTTTGTGACATGCACTGCGGAAAAACCAACGGATCAGGGAAAGCTCCAGCTCGAGAGACCTTCATATAAACGTA